TTCCTGGGCTAAAGAAACTGCAAGGAGGCTAGTCGCTAGGGAGAGGAAACCGGGTGTTGCTACGTGACGTCATTACCCGGCACCCACAGTGACCATTTCTGGGCTGGGCTGGGCTGGGCTATGGGGCACATTTTGTGCCATGGAGTCTTAGCAGCATTGGCTGTGATTCGGTGAGCTGTCGCTCTGGGGTGGTGGGGGGCATGTGTCCCAATTGGGGAAGCTGAGTGTTGCTTTGTTGGCGTCAGGTCCGCAGTGCAGTTCCTTTGTAAATGGCCAGTGCGCGTCATGGCAGATCCTGCATTAAGCATCTGCCCTCTGGTGGTCAGTGCGTGTCATAGCAACCGGTTGGATGGTCGGAGGGACACTTAGCATATTAGCCTTTTATATATATAGATAGTCATTCAGTGAAGGATGTGACAATATTGGGGATTTTAGTTAGAGAAAATATAATGTTCCTTTATTCATGGAGAATATGACATCAATATTTTTGAAGTAACATATAAATGTCAGGAATTGTTAATGATGTGAATGTAAAATTCATAACTGACATGTATTTTTTCCACTCAGGAATACCTTCCCATTTGAATTTCCATAATCCTTTGTCTAGATATCACTTAAAGAACTTTCAACATCCTGTCTATTACTCTGCATTGGTGTGTACCAAAATACATATGGAATGAATAAGAATCACATCTAAATACCCGAAGTGTTGTTCATGGCACTTGACAAGCACTTGTTTATTTAAAGTGTCTTTATTACCCCAGTTTTACATATAAGGAAACTGAGGATTGAAAGGTTAACCTGCTTGAGGCCACTAGGAGTTAAAAAAGGTTTTAGTCAGGGGTGGCAAATGGGTTTCCCCAGGAGTATCTCAGGAGTAGCTAAGACAGCACTGATTGCTTGGGGAGATCCTATTTTACTTCCTAATCCCTCATTTCTTTCTTAATTTATATATGAAGTAATTTCCAATATGAACTATCAATCATAATTTAAATGCATACAGCTCCTTTAGGATTTCAAAATATGTTCATATTCATTGTTAAGTCCCTATGTGACAAGTGAAGAAAAAGAGATAAGCCCACATTGTGGAAATAAATGGGGAAGCAGAGTTAGCATGGACACGACCCTCTTGACTCTCAGACCAGTGCTCTCTCTCCCATGCTGTGCCACTTCTTATGGCCAATACCAGGTACCTGTGGCCACATTAGAGACCTCACACTGTTTAAATTTTAGGAAGATTCCAGACAACAAAGGGTGTTAGACATCTCTTTATTTAATACTAGGAACGTACCCTAATTGTTGCTGTGTGACTCTGACTGTGTTTATTTGAAAGTTCCTCTCTTCAGTCATCCGTTTAGTTTGACAAGTTAAAAGTAAAATTTTGTTATTATTGGTTTTAATTAAAAGCCCACAGGTAGAATAAGAAATTCATTCTAAGATGAAAATATATGGAGTTGGTATATAGAACAATTAGTAGTATACATTTTTGGAGAATACAGTGGGGCCTTGACTTAAGAGTGTCCCAACTAACGAGGTTTTTGAGATACCAGCTGTCTCTAGGCCGATTTTTTGCATTGAGTTGACAGAGTAATTTGAGTTAACGAGCTCCTTAACGAGCTCGATCTCAGAAGGAATTAAACTCGTAAGTCAAGGCCCCACTGTACAATATGGAAAAGAGATTGCAATAAGGGGACACTTCCTAGTACAGTATAGAAATTAAATTCAGTATGCTGTGAGAAGAAAGTCAGGGAAGGGGCCTGCGGAGAGAAGATAGACACAAAGAAACAGGGTTGGTGTCAGGTGAATTTGTCCGATAGCAAAGAGTAGTCCAAGAAGATGAGGCGGGGGAGGGTCTCTGAAGGCTGTTAGAGAACAGGAAGGTTTGTATAGATACTGAGGCTCCATGGGGCAGGAAAGCATTGGGGATAGTGATCCCTTTCTACTCTTCAAACCTGTGATTATACAAAAGTTAATAGGACGGAAAGTAAAAGTGAGAAGCTTTTCAGAGAAAAGATGAAAGCTTCCGAGAGAAATGGGAGTTTAGAAAAGAAGGCATTTCGTGCATCCTGCTGCCCTGCCACTCTTATCCTTGTCGCAGTGGAACGAGGGGAACTTTCATGATCTGAGCAGGGTTGAGACTTCCGAGGGATCACTTCCTTGCACACTGAAAGCTTCCCAACAGCAGTCCACGTGGATATGCTCTTGGGCAAAGGTAGTGGAAGCAAAGGCTTGGAAGAGAAATTGCAGAGGGCAACTGCTTCAGAAGGGAGCTCAGATCAGAGTGAAGTAAAACTCCAGGGAATCTGGCTGGGTCGTCTTCCTGCCGCATTTTGAGTTGCTGTTGGTAGTTCTTATTGTACAAGAGCTGTTATACTCCAAGACATGTACACTCTTCTCCATTAACTGTCATTCTCTGCAGCCAGTATTGACTATTCAGCCCATCCACTTTTATTTACGTAACTGTTAGCCTAACTTGGATACTCATCATTTACTTTCTCACATGCACCATAAAGCATGTCTTCTCCCTGTACCTACTTCTGGGCCTCTTTTCATGTAGAAGATATTATCCTATCAAGACTGACTTTATATGGATTACAACTCTTCATATCTCTTACCGTGCACAATATATTTTTATATACCTTCCTTTCTTAGAGAGAAATAAGCCCAGTGGGCTATCTTACTAAGACTTTATTAACATTGTTTTCTGAACATTTATAGGCAGTGCTGGGACACCCGTCACTTTTAATGAGAACGGAGATGCTCCTGGGCGCTACGATATCTTCCAGTATCAAATCACCAACAAGAGTACAGAGTACAAAGTCATTGGGCACTGGACCAATCAGCTCCACCTAAAAGCAAGTATCAACATAAATGTACACCAATGGATATTGTTCTCAAAGAAGAATGCTTTATTTTTAAGTATATAACCTTTATTAGAATACATTTTCTCCTAAGTACATTTTTAGAAAATATATGATTTGCTTCTATCTTCAACTTTAAAGTGTGATGGAAAGTCTTAAATGTCTGTAGAGATAGCTGATAATTGTAGGGATTTAATGAAATACTCCATTTTCTTTTCATTGACTATAGATACACTTAAGGCAATTTTTCCCTTTTCTGAAAGACTCACTTGGTCAAGTCTTTGTACACTGTGTGTGGGAGGGGGTGGGGGGAGCGGGGGATTGGGGAGTGGATAATAGAGTATGTCATGAATGCTAAAGTTGGGGCTTAAAAATAAGTGTGTTTCATCTTTACCACATCTAAGGGGAGACCTTTAGACTACATCTGATTGATGGAAGTGCATCCTGATCTGGATCTACATTTCATCTTTCTTTTTTTTTTCCATCTTTCTTTTTAAAAAAATATATTTTATTGATTTTTTACAGAGAGGAAGGGAGAGGGATAGAGAGTTAGAAACATCGATGAAAGAGAAATATCAATCAGCTGCCTCCTGCACACTCCCTACTTGGGATGTGCCCGCAACCAAGGTACATGCCCTTGACTGGAATCGAACCTGGGACCCTTCAGTCCACAGGCTGATGCTCTATCCACTGAGCCAAACCGGTTAGGGCTACATTTCATCTTTCGGTGGCAACACCAGAGAAAGTTAACATACCCAACGTGATATCTATTGTTTAATAGCCCTTAGAGCTGCCTGCTGTCCCTGTCTTACCTCAGGTGCTGTCAAGACACAATGTCATGTGAGGACAACTTGGATAGAGCAGGGAGAAGCAGGGTCTCAGGGCCTGAGGAGGATGCCAAACACGGCTGGACATTTGCCTGCCCGGGTGCCACACTGCCACAGAGCTCTGTCTTCTTCTGCTGGGGTGTGGTGGGGACAAGGTGTGGGTGGCATGCAGGATGGCGAAGGGCAGAGGAACTTCTTCAGATGTTCCTGGTTGGAACATCTCCAAGGGGCTCTCCTAGGGCAGGAGGCTTCGGGGACTTTGGGGAGAGCTGCCTCTGATTGACACCCACCAATCATAAGGGGCTCTGAGCAGGAAGCCAATCCTGAACTTGATGGATAAGGAAACCCAGGAAGTCACAGGGCACAGGGCTGGCGGTGGTGGCATGGCAGGGTGCAGGGGTGGTTGGAGCAGTTTACCACTGGGTAGGGAATTGTTTCACATTTGAACAGCTCCTGGTGCCATAGCAGTGTTCACTGGCTTCTTTGGGTATAAAGTAGGGAGCTGCCCTGTATTCTCAGAAAAGGACGGGCATTCTTTCATTCAGTATCTCTTCTACATCTATAATATAGGACTATTTGCAGAAATTGAGGGCCAAGGAATTGCTACAGCAGCAGTGTTACCTCCGTAGACAAAAAGATGCTTTTACAGTGCTTCAAACGAACAAGAAACATATTCTTCTTCTTTCTATTGTCTTAATTTGTATTCCATTCTTTCCTCTAAAGAAAGTATCTCCTCTTCTTGATTCTCAAAGCTACCATAACACTGTGAGAGTTGAGTTCATTTCCTAAATCAATAATGAAGTTCATTTCCTAGCTACAGCTTATCCTAGCTAAAAGGTAAAAGCTCATGCCATACATGAGGGTAGGAGGGAGTTCACTCTTGTCTCTGTGTATAATGTACACATGGACTTTCATGTGTGTGAACCTACTCAGAAGACATCTGTTTAGCATTTTAATACATGTTCACTTCCACATGTCCAAATACAGTGGGGCCTTGACTTACGAGTTCAATTCGTTCCATGACCGAGCTCGTAACTCAAATTACTCGTATGTCAAATCAATTTTCACCATTACAATGACACATGATGCTGGGCTGGTGTTGTGGCGTTCACTGTGACGTTCGCTGCGCCAACTAGCGGAGGGGTATCTGAAGCTGGCTCGTAACCCGAATTTTAGCTCGCAACTCAAAGCAAATAATTGGCCGAGAGACGGCTCGTATCTTGAAAAACTCGTTAGTAGTTAAGGTTTTTCAAAATGCTGACACGCCGAGCTCAAAAGATTCGCCATCACTGTACCTAGCTAAAAGGTAAAAGCTCATGCTGTACATGAGGGTGGGAGGGAGTTCACTCTTGTCTCTGTGTATAATGTACACATGGACTATCATGTGTGTGAACCTACTCAGAAGACATCTATTTAACATTTTAATACATGTTCACTTCCACATGTCCAAATACAGTGGGGCCTTGACTTACGAGTTCAATTCGTTCCATGACCGAGCTCGTAACTCAAATTACTCGTATGTCAAATCAATTTTCACCATTACAATGACACATGATGCTGGGCTGGTGTTGTGGCGTTCACTGTGACGTTCGCTGCGCCAACTAGCGGAGGGGTATCTGAAGCTGGCTCGTAACCCGAATTTTAGCTCGCAACTCAAAGCAAATAATTGGCCGAGAGACGGCTCGTATCTTGAAAAACTCGTTAGTCAGGACACTCGTAATTCAAGGCCCCACTGTATAGCCCTTCAGTGGTATGTTTATACAGCATCAGTCACCAATGTTCTCAGAAAAGAAGCAGACGATGAAAAATAACAAAACTAGGGTATTTTGGATCAATTGTCTCTGAAATGGCTTCCTGGTAATTAGCACAGTTATGCATTGAATAGTGCACAAATACAACTTCTGTTTCAACTACTGCTGAACGATGCATGACCATGTATCTACACTTTACTGCATGCAGTAGCCTCCTGAAATCTTACCCCTTGTTCTGCAACCCTGATTGACATTTATCCGAACAATCAACAACTCTGCATGTTGTTGACACCAATCTGAAAACCAATAGCTTTTAAAAATTTGTCTTTATTGTCGAACGTATTACAGATTGACACGCCGAGCTCAAAAGATTCGCCATCACTGTACCTAGCTAAAAGGTAAAAGCTCATGCTGTACATGAGGGTGGGAGGGAGTTCACTCTTGTCTCTGTGTATAATGTACACATGGACTATCATGTGTGTGAACCTACTCAGAAGACATCTATTTAACATTTTAATACATGTTCACTTCCACATGTCCAAATATAGCCCTTCAGTGGTATGTTTATACAGCATCAGTCACAAATGTTCTCAGAAAAGAAGCAGATGATGAAAAATAACAAAACTAGGGTATTTAGGATCAATTGTCTCTGAAATGGCTTCCTGATAATTAGCACAGTTATGCATTGAATAGTGCACAAATACAACTTCTGTTTCAACTACTGCTGTACAATGCATGACTATGTATCTCCACTTTACTGCATGCAGTAGCCTCCTGAAATCTTACCCCTTGTTCTGCAACCCAGACTGACATTTATCCAAACAATCAACAACTCTGCAGGTTGTTGACACCAATCTGAAAACCAATAACTTTTAAAAATTTGTCGTTATTGTCGAACGTATTACAGATGTCCCCCTTTTATTCCCATTGACCTCCTCCACTCTGCACCAGCCCCCCTGGCCTTCGCCATGCTATTACTGTCTGTGTCCATGGGCTATGCATATACATTCTCCAGTTAATCTCTCCTCACCCCACCTCCCACCCCACCCCCGCCTTCCTTCTGAGAAGCAGTAGCTTTTTGGCAAAAGCCCTTTTTAAAGTGGACCTATGTTAAATAGAATAGATATGACAAAGAAAATTTGATAAGGGCTAAAATGGGAAGCTACTTTTTTATCTTTTATTAATGCCAAACTGCCTATTAGAGTCTTATGATTAGATATTTGCATAACAAAATTACGTGGTTGACAATATGTGTACTAATATATAATACCATGATACCTAAAATAATTATACACAGAAGTATACATACACACATCTCTCTATTTGTGAGTGATATATTTATTATAAAACTTTATATCATGTTACTAGTATTGTTCATAAAAGACAACAAAACCACTTATAAGAATTCTCTCTCAAGCATGGTCATGATCATTTGTAACTTGATAGAAGTCTTGTTTTACTGAAACAGGGAGAATGAAAGTCTGAGAAGAAAAGAGAGTGAATTAGGCTGTGGGGAGAGGTTATGTCAATTCTGTTGAATTCTGGAATTTATCAGAAAACTAAATTTTCTTGGGAGTTGGATCAGTCACCTGCTTGAAGGTGGAGTAGGGGGTGCTTGGAAAATGACTGATTTATTAAAATTCTGCTTAGAACTTGGGCAAGGCAGCAAACAAGTTATTTGCCTCCCTTTCATCACATGTAAAATGGAAACATTATTAGCACCTACTTCTCTGGTGGTAATAAGAATTAAATGAAATAGTAAAATGAAGCATTTAGTCCAGGGCCTGGCACACATGAATTGCATAAATATTACCTGTTATTAACCCAGTGCCTCATGGTTCTGTGTGGTCAGTGGGAGGTCTGCTAATGCGTGTGGTGAGAAGTGAAGGTCCCTATTAGCAGAGGCTCTTGCTTTTAGAAAGTTCAGAGAGAATCTCTACATTTCAAATGCTGACTATTTGTCCGCACAGCTCAGTGTTTCTGCCTGCCTTTAACATTGCCCTTAATGATTTAGAAAATCTATCTGCACTTAAAAAGTAAACTTTATGGAAGATAAATACATAGATATTTTTTTAAGTAGTGTGCGGCTACTTATTGTCACCTAGGTGGTTAGTTTGGAATGGATTTGTTAAGTTCATTCTGTGCACATATTCTGTGCTAAGTATTGGAACTAGAGTGATTATGTGGTCCCTGTGCTCAGGGAGCTCACATCCTAGGACAGACAGACACTCAAACCAATAATTCTAGCGCAAAGAGGCAGGTGCACTGATGAAGGTATGTGCATGTTTTTTGTTGTGTTTGTGTTTTTTTTAATCCTCACCTGAGGATATGTTCATTGATTGTTGGGACTAGAGTGACTATGTGGTCCCTGTGCTCAGGGAGCTCACATCCTAGAAGGACAGACAGACACTCAAAC